GTGTTGGATACATCTCCTTCCCAGCTCCTACTCCCTTTCCAAAGTCAACTAGACACACACTCTTTAAATCTCGATTGCGCTGGTCAGAGAAAGCAACAGAGGAAGTCAGAAACTCCTCCAGGACTGCTCAGCCTTCCCTAACTCTTTGTCTCGACCGTGTTACACGCTTTATCTCTGTTGCTTTTTTCTGCCAAGAAGGACCACCAGAATCCTTAAACCATCAACTCCTTTGAGTCTCTTCAACTGTTTACCATCTTCTTCGATTCTTTTCAATGCCACTCATTTAACATCCATCTAAGATTAGTGGACAGTGTATTGAACTTTTTTTCGCCACTTGGCTAGTGAATCTGTTACTCTCTAGGCGACAGGCTGTTTCTCGACAGGCTGGGAGTGCCTCCACGCAAACATGGCAAATATCGCGGAGGATGCGTCCATTGACGATCTCGAGGACGATCTTCAACTGCATCAAGTCATTCTGCAAAGCTTAAATGAGCAAAGGCCAAATGCTGTCGAAGAGAGACAAGAAATACTCGACATTATCAGAGACTTGGAGACGCGCCTTGCACGACTGCGTCGGGGCAGCCAAGCTACTCCTGAAACACTTTCTCCGGTTGCCCGTTCGGGTACGCCTGGGTCGCCATTGTCTCAGGCACAGCTGGACGGCGCCGCTCTTCCACGTTCAAACGGTGCTTTGAGTCCTCCTCAGTGGGGTAGCTCTGCTATGTCTCCTCCGAGACGGCCATATCAGCCTGGACTTGACATAAGCCCATATCGACCTGGACTCCCCATAAGCGTAGGTCGTTCCTCAGGGACTATATCAAGAGCGTCAACAGAAAATGCTAACAATAGCAAGAGATCGAGCTCATACGGTTATGACGACGATGACCTAGATCGGTCACTTGGAGGAGGATCGACGCACAGGCGTGCTTCCTCAAGCTCTAGCTCTGCGATGTCCGCTTCGAGGGAACCTGCAGGTCTTCCTGAGGAAGCTGAATCCAGTCGGAAGCGCCGGCGTCAGAGTTCTAGCGGAGACCTTAACTTTTTACGGCCACAGAAGCGAGCGACAGACGACAGACGTCCTTCTAACTCTAGCACAGTGTCGTCTCACACTCATCAGAGCCAATTGAATGATGAGTCTGAGGAACTGAAGCGACTTTTGGGCTTAGATAATGACGATACTCTGCGCGCACTCCAGGAAGAGCAGAGAAAAGCAGAGCAATGGCTCGAAGAGCGAAAGGAGCAGGAGCGTCGTGACGAAGAGTATGCCCGTATGCTCATGAACGGGCTGTATGAACCTCCTCGTCCAGCCTCAGCTCGCAGCACCGCCTCTACGAATTATGCACGGTCGTCCATGCGGTTTCCCTCTGAAGCTACCCTGGTATATCGCGGCGAAGCGGGACCATCTTCCATTCCCGAGCATCGTTCCATCAATACGCCACTTGTGGATCGTCTTGTGGATCGTTCGCGCTCATCCTACAGCATTCCGTCAACGCCTGAATCGGGACATTCAGAAGTACAGCATCTACCACTTATTACCTTGCGCGATAGTGATGACAGCGATATAGCAGAGATCTCACCCCGAGATTTCCACAGTGGTCAGGCCAGACCCCAAAGCCATCACAGACTGTATCCGAGCTATAATACCCGTCCGGGTCATTCTTCAAATCGTCGGAGCGTGGCAACCGAGCTGGCAAGATACGCCCCAGTTACTCAACCTTCGATTCCACCGGGATACAGTGCGCCTCAAGGTTCTGTGTATGGGCCCAATGTCTTGCAGAATACTATGGCAAGGCTTCAAGCAAGCCGGCAGATGTTAGAGCAGGCGGGAAGATCGGTCTTTGAAGGATTTTCGTCGTACTTCTCACCCTCAGGCTCTTCCGGCTTCCCCACTGGACTTTCTGCTGATGATTACTATGCTTCGTTGAAGGGCTACAGGTATGCTGCCCTGCGCCTTGAGATTGCAACTTGCATCATTATGCTAACAATATTTCTCGATCTAGTGATTTCTATGAGCCTGGTGTGGATCCCAAGCAAGTCCAGGAAGAAATCAAACAATTGCTCGAAACGATCAGACCAGACACCGAAATTGCCAAGGAAAAGCGGGAAGGCACCCCAGAGGCGCTTAGATACACTTTGCTGGAGCATCAGAAACTGGGGCTTACCTGGATGAAGACCATGGAAGAGAGCGAAAAGAAAGGCGGTATCCTGGCCGACGACATGGGTTTGGGAAAGACCATACAAGCCATTGCTCTCATGGTGTCCCGCCCGTCTACGGATCCAGAGCGGAAACCCACACTGATTGTTGCTCCGGTCTCTTTAATGCAGCAGTGGAAGCGAGAGATTCAGAAGGCTGTCAAGCCGGGTAGGCATCAACTTTCAGTCTATGTTTTACACGGTGACAAGCGAGCGGTCAGCTACAGAGACCTGAAAGACTACGACGTGGTCCTCACCACGTTCGGAACTTTGTCCTCGGAACTGAAGCGCAGGGAAAAGTATGACGAACTACAGTCGGCTGGCGCGAATGAGGAGGCTTTATCCCGAACTTTGCTGAAAAACCTGCCATGCCTCGGCCCGAGCAGTCTGTGGCACCGAATCATCATAGACGAAGCTCAGTGCATCAAGAATCGAAATACGAGATCCGCGCAAGCATGTTGCCGTCTCAATTCCACCTATCGTTGGTGTATGAGCGGAACTCCAATGATGAACACTGTCGAAGAACTACATTCATTGTTGAAATTCCTCCGGATCAGACCCTATTCCAGCATCGATCGTTTCAACAAGGTAAGTGTCGATGATCACGCCGTGTTCGGCTAATGGAAGGTTGACCAATCTTTTCAGGACTTCACCCGACCACTCAAGGGTCCGCCTGGCGAGCCTCGCGATAAAGCTATGCAACAACTGCAGGTTCTGGTGAAGGCGGTTCTGCTTAGACGGACCAAGACATCGAAGATTGACGGCCAGCCGATCCTACGGCTTCCACCCAGGGTTTTAGAGAAGGTGCATGCTGTGTTCAGCGAGGATGAACAGGCCATCTACGATGCGCTTGAGAGCAAAACTCAGGTTCAGTTCAACAAGTATCTCAGGGCTAACGCCATTGGAAGAAACTACTCCAACATCCTCGTTCTGCTTCTTCGGCTTCGTCAGGCTTGCTGCCACCCACACTTGATGACTGATTTTAGTGTCGAGGTCAATGCTGCTACTGACGAGTTGGACCTTGTTGCCAATGCGAAAGCTTTCGGAGACGAGGTTGTGGTTCGTCTCAAGGAGAACGAAAATCTTGAGTGCCCCATTTGTATCGACGCAGTTGACAATCCCATTATATTTTTTCCATGCGGTCATAGCGCTTGTGCCGAGTGTTTCTCAAGGATGACCGATCCCTCGCTTGCCGTGCAGCGCGGTGAAGATGGTGCAGCGGAGATCAAATGTCCGAACTGTCGCGGTCGTGTCGATCCGAAGAAGGTCACCGACCATCTGACGTTCAAGAAGGTTCATTCTCCGGATGCGGATGATCCCGATCAAGTGGGGTCCCTTAAGCCTCTTCGTGACGAAGAAGATGATGACGATAGCGATGACGACGACGATGATGACGATGACAGTTTGTCTCGATTCATCGTTGATGACGAGGATGACCCAGCATCAGTCGGAAAGTCCAAGGCAAAGAAGGGAAAGAAAGCCAAGAAGACCAAGAAGAGCCTTGCGGAACTCAAGAAGGAGGCATCGAAGAATATCAAGTCGAAACAAAAGTACCTTCGCCGATTGGAGAAAACCTGGGTCACCAGTGCAAAGATTGAGAAGACTCTCGAAATCCTTCAGGAGATCCAGGACCGAGAGGATAGCGAGAAGACGATCATTTTTAGCCAGTTCACATCGCTGCTGGATCTCCTCGAGGTCCCAATCGTGCGTCGAGGCTGGGGCTATCGCCGCTATGACGGCAGCATGAGACCTGGTGATCGAAATGCCGCCGTTCTGGAATTCACCGACAACCCAGACTGCAAGATTATGCTGGTTTCCCTGAAAGCCGGCAACGCGGGCCTGAACCTCGTCGCTGCATCTCAGGTCATCATCTTCGACCCCTTCTGGAACCCCTACATCGAGGACCAGGCCATCGACCGCGCTCATCGCATTGGACAGATGCGCCAGGTTCATATCCATCGAATCCTTGTACAAAAGACAGTCGAGGACCGTATCCTTGAACTTCAGGAGAAAAAGCGCGAGGTTATTGATGGTGCTCTGGACGAGAAGGCCCAGAAGAAGGTGTCTCGCCTGGGAACTCAGGAACTGGCCTATTTATTCGTATGCGAGCCCATCCTCCAAACGTTTTTACTAGAGACTAACTAAACTTTGCTACAGGGCGTTCGGTAACGGCTCCTTATATTTCGATATGCGCGGTATGGCGTTGGCGGCATTCTGCTCTCGGATTCAACTTTACTTCAGATACGATACCCTACATCGCTACCTTTCCCCTTCTTATTTTGTATTTGACTTCTTTTCTATCTACATTCCGGACAAGTTCGTATCTATCATCTGCGATATCATTAGACTCAGAGCAGCAGATAGAATGCAGTCTCGATCCTTAATCATAGATTTCATGCTATGTCATAAATCCATGCTCGCGTACATCCATAATGACTCGCCAATCTACATAAGTAGAGTCCAAGTTCCTGGGAGAGGTATACAACCGGGTGAGACATACCACTAGTGTTGTTCTTTTGACCTAATCCAATAAAAGAAAGCCTATGACGTCACCCACAATGAATCAATTAATTCAAGAGGTTGTTCCTTGGAATTCCAGGGACTCAATAAGATACCATATGGGGCGAATGTTTGCTACCTTATGGATGTCATGGATTGGTCTACCTAAGTAGTAGATATGTCTATTTGCCCTGCAGTAGCTTACGCTGTAAGGCTATGTATGGGAGTAAGAGGAGTAACCCCCTCAAAAGCAAAGAGACGGTAGAGAGGTATGAAAACTTTTTTTCGACCATCCGTAGATAGCCCCAATCTTGTGAACAGATTTGCTTTTTTGTTGTCGTAAATAGAGTTATCATCTGCGAGAAAGAAAGGGAAAAAAGGGAGAAAAATTGTGATAAGCGTCTAAACTACTAGTTGTGTAAGATTCCAATGCATGACAGTGCCGACCTTTCCCTTCAGGCTATTTCCACCGACCGCTATCGTTGTATCGTAACTCAAGGCATGGCGTAACGAATCCAAATGACCGGGAGGAAACCGCAGGCATGGATGAATGACCGCAATTCGCCCCCCGATCCGATCTGTGCGATACGCTTACAGATCAGCATCCTCCTCGTCGGGCAGAGGCATGGCAGCGGCAGTCGCCATCTCCTTCTCGTACTCAGCCATGAGCTCGGGGTTGACAGCGACCTCAGGAGGAGCAAGAGCAGGGGCAGCAACGAATTCCTGAGTCGGCGTGTTAGTTGAAAGTGCAACCACAAGGCTATATACGCGCGTAAAACTCACCAGGGCGGCGTTGCCGACCAGCTTGCGGGCGAGCCACAGGAAGGGCTTCTCGAAGTTGTAGTTGGACTTGGCCGAGATATCGTAGTACTGCAGGTTCTTCTTGCGGTGGAAAGTGATGGTCTTGGCCTTCACCTTGCGCTCCTTAACATCGACCTTGTTACCGCAGAGAACGATGGGGATGTTCTCGCAGACACGGACGAGATCACCTGTTTTGTGATGATCAGTATGGCCACCACTCTCCACGATAAGTTGACAATAACTTACGGTGCCAGTTGGGGACGTTCTTGTACGTGATACGGGAGGTGACATCGAACATGATGATACCGCACTGGCCGTTGATGTAGTATCCATCTCTCAGACCGCCGAACTTCTCCTGACCGGCTGTGTCCCATACATCGAACTGGATCGTTCCCAGGTTCTATCGCGAAAGGTTAGTCGTCTCGGAGAAGCAAAGTGGAACGATAGAGCGGGGTTGCGGGCGGGGCATACGGTGGTGAAAGTCAGAGGGTGCACTTCGACACCGAGAGTTGCAATGTACTTCTTTTCGAATTCACCAGTAAGGTGGCGCTTGACGAAGGTGGTCTACAAGGTATGAATGTTAGCGATCCTGCGAGGAACTTCGACACTGGGTGATTTTTTTTTTTTCTCGTTGGCGGGCGGGGGCGACGAAGAAATCAAGTGAACGCAAGTAGGTCAATGAGCGTCGACCCTTGGTAGAATGCAGGCAGAGCAAGATACTGCATGTCAAGAGTGAAAAGCAATATGAGGGTGATTTTACTTGCCTTACCAGTACCACCATCACCAACAAGGACGAGCTTGAAGGTTGGTGTAGTAGGAGCAGCCATAGCGATGATTCTGTGATGTTTGAAAATGGAAAACAGTCAAGTCGCGGAAAAAAATCACGCTGTATTTATATTATGGAAAGTCGTCAAAAAATATGCGACAGTTGATGGAGAGAAGTGTGTTCAACAGAACGGCTGAAGCCAGGGAGAAGCAGAGCGAAAGACTATTCTGCTGATGGAATTTTTGCCCCGAGTCGGTCACAACAGGTTGAAGTCACGTGTTGTTGCCTGAGGATGACAGTGCCCCGCGAGATAGCAGTCCAAGGACGCCTGAGGGCAGGTGAAGCCAGTAGATCTACGAAAAACAACGCTTTGCAGAGTACAATTTTCCCAATTATCTCTCTTGATTTGTCCATGTTCTACATCTTTTACAGATTAGGCACGAAGGTACCTTGGAGTTCCATGCATCAATTATTAATACATTCTTTCTCGGATTTCAGGTCTCCGCTTGCAGCCTAAACAAACAGTAACGCCAATTTATGCTTGATCCTACCTTCGACTCGATCATAAAAGCCATACCGCATTTCTCGTCAGAGCACAAGAAGAGGAGCAAGGCACGAGCAGAGGTCATGACGAAATTACATTTCCTCCTGCAGTGCCATTGAGCCAGTGTCAATCTGGCCTGCGGTTCTCCTGTTACAGTGGAACAAGGTGACAACCTAACAAACCACGACCTCCCCAATCACGGCGTGGTATGAGTTCTAAACTCAGCTCAGTAGTGTCATTGGACGCAGGTCCGTCCTTTCTTACGATCTTGACGACGATTGTGCGCTGCGTAAAGTCAGCCAGGTGTAGCTTGGGAAGAGGATGCGACCACTTACTCCTTCGTTCTGTTGCACTGTTTGTGCTACCTTAGATAGACGTTCGTGATTGATCCAGTTCACATTTCCGAAGCTTCGTATGGTGTCCCCGGCCTTCAACCCAGCCTGATCCGCAGGACTACCAGGCACCACGCTGTTCACCTTGGCAAATGGCGTCCCAATAATTTCAGCATCTGATAAACTGCTCTCACCCAAGTTGCTTCGTTGAACTGCAGTCCCGTTCATGCCGCCAGCGGCAACGGCGGCTTGCGCACGTTGAAGACTGGCGAAATGCTCATGGAGACCCTTTTCGAGATGCTTCATCACTTCTTTGTGGTCTGTTCGCAGGTGGATTATTCGTGCTCGTGTCGTGCGGACTATGCTTCAGATTTAGTTTCCGTACCGCATATGGAAATCCGATGAAACTTACTCTGCGCAACGTCGATATCGTCTCGCGGAAAACCATCAAAGGTCGTGAGGGACGTGTTCATATTCACGCCATGCTGTAAACACACATTGTCAGTCGTAACATCCGGAGATGTCTGGATAAATCCGATCGACTCACAGACGTCAACACGGCGCTAAGGGCCGACAGTTCTGCTTCGATGCGTTCCTTCTCTTGCATCAGGTCCACCATGGTCAGCTTGGACAGGTCGCGGGGAACCCCTCCGGACGTAGGTCCAGAGGGTACAGTGGGGGCGTGAATATTATCGTTCATGGGTATTCCCATCCCTTGATGACAAGGTATAGTTAGACCATCGTAGTGCTATTTGGTAAGTTGTTGGTTGTAGTCGAAGAGAGCTAACTGATGGGCGACAGTGGCGGGTCCACCTGAAAGATAAGTCGATAACCTGCGGGGTCGGAAAGGCCGCTTTGCTGTTCTAGGCACATCAAGCTTCCATTTTCCACTAATTGTCTACACTGGAGAGTATAGGTAGATTCAAGCCAACAAAGAATGAAATAGACTTTTTCACTTACTCCTGTGTTTGTATTTCCTTTCGTGCATTTCATCAACCAAGAAGGATGCTATGAACGTGTTGTCGCAGTGTTCTCCTGCTATACCTCTCTAGAGAACATGACAAGCAGAATGATGCAGAAACGCAAGGCAAACAGAAGGTGGATGGACAGTATAGCATTGCAGATGGTCAAACTTCAGTCCTGCAGATCCTACAGCAGGCGTCTAGAGTCATGTTTTGTTTGTCATTGCTTCCTCCGCGCCAGTCGCAGCTTCCATAAAGCTGATTGACTCCTGTCGGGCCTACTGGTTTCTGCACGCCTGCACTATGTCTTTGAAACGAACTCCTCGAACTTGCTATTCAGACAGTTCATACTCCAGTTCTTCTAGAATCAGGCTCGCATGCTCACGCAACATGGAAGAGTCAAAGGAGGATACCCTATCCGAAACGCCGCTCCTTCTCGTTGAACCTCCGAACCCAGACGTGAAAGTAGTGGACGCGAGTGATATAGTTCAGGACTCTGGAGGACGGACAACTGATTCAGGATCATTCAGGAGATGGTTTGAAGAGTTCTGGCTGAAGAGGAGTCTTCCTTCTCCAGCCCAGAAACACGTTGACGGTTGGCCCGAGATCCTGTTGACCAAGTGCTCCAACGACGACTGGCCACCTCACTGTGGGCTTCAAGATCAACAATGGGAACAACTATCGGCACATTCGTCACATCTGGGGATTGTCAAAACAGCGAGCTTCACTGACCAAAGCGTAGGGAGATCAAGGGCTGCAACACAGAGCACCTTCAACCCCAGCATACATTCGGGCGGTCGTGGTTCAATCGAGAGTTTGAGGCCCAGTGTCAGCCCTTCGATATCCCATGCAGTGCTACTTCATTCTCTTGAGAGGCGTCAAATACTGCGGGAGATCATCACTACTGAAACCGACTACGTGTTCGGGTTGAAGGCCCTTGCTGATGTATGCCCGAAAGTAGTATCTCGTGTAATTGACCTTGAAACTAACTTTTTCCCGTCAATCGACCAGGTACTTCTCATCTGTTCCGTCAGACCCCCGATATATCGCAACGTCCAACAGATTCGAGAACTACACCAGACCTTCTTGGCAAGGGCTCGTGCCGTGAGCCCCAAGTCCGTTTCGGCTGCATCCGAGGTCGATAAGCTGTTCCCTCAGGGCGTTGCTAAAGGCTTGAGGGCGATTGACTTGAAACGCCTTAACAACCTTCAAAGCAGATTCTTGACGAAGCAGAGCCTGAAGACATCGATAATTGCCCACCTCAACTCATTGGCTGCGCAAGGTTCGGAAGCCTATGACATCGCTTATGAGATTGCTGAATTGGTACGTGTTTGCATCCAGGCTCACGCTTTATTGTGCTAACTCTTTTCTGTGCAGTCAATGTCCTTCAAGCTCTATGAAGACTTCTGTAGCAATTTTGAACTACTCTTGCAGGACGTGAGCCTTCTGCGCGGGTCAATACCGAATTGGGAAACGTTCGAAGGAGGCATAGAATCTCTTTCAAAGTCTGTGACGTCATTGGAGAACAAGCTCTTGACAGATAATAGATCAATGTCTTTGAGTGATCTCGTCGTCAAGGTTTTTCCAACCCCACCTTCCAGATCCGCCATCTCTGTGCTAACTAGCCTCAGCCAGTTCAGCGCCTTTGTAAGTATGAGCTGTTCTTGAGGGAGCTACTAAAGTGCACGCCGATCCAAGATGACCCGTTGTCGCATGACAAGATCAAGGAAGTACTGGATGGCCTTCGCCCAACAATCGAGCGAGTAAATCAAGCCAATGAAACTCTCAAGCAGAGGGAACTTATTGCAAAAACCCTCTTGCTGAGAGAAAAGCTGGAATTGCCAGAGCCGGTGAGCCCATAGTCGCTTTCCTTAATCTGAGAGATTACTGACAAGCAGGGATCTGGCATGCAGGACATTGTTCACGATATCTACCTACAATTGGGACCCATCAAACTATGTGGTGTTCTTCATGCGACCTACCAGTTACCGGCAGATATTGTGGGTGAATACGTCGTCTGCGCTCTGTTTGAGAGCTATCTTGTTCTGGCTGCTTCAAGAGACGGCTGTTCAAGACTCCAGGCTGTGGCGTGCTTGTACGTCCGCGATCTAAAGATCGACACCTTGAGAAATGGGAGAGGTAAGCGGCATACATCCCGACCCTTTTTAACCACTTTCCCTGTCCGTGGCTCACGCTTAATCTCGGGACAGGGCTATGTTGCTACGGATGCTTATTCTCGTGGAAGCTCATATTTGAACATCGAAATAATCAATACGAGCTGGTCTTGAGCGCGTCATCGGCGCTTGAAGAAAAACAATGGAAAACCGAGATACTTAGGGCGGCGGCGGCATTGACCGAAGTTTCGACAGCAGGACAATCGGAATCAAATCTATACTCCTTTGAGGTGCTAGGTCTACTCCCACTTGAATGCTCGACGGGTTTAACAACTCTCTTGTCCCGAAAAACTTCCATCCACTCATTGGCCACTTCTGCGAGTAAGGCGAATTTGCAGCATATTGTGATCAGGAAAACGCACCGGCCTGGAGAGGCATCGCCTGAGGCGGATGGAGAAATCGAACGCCCAAAGATCCCCCCTTGGGCCTCAGCGCTGGTCCTGACAACAAGAAGACAGGATAGAGTTGATCTGGAACGATTCATCTTCAACATATACACAAAGAGCTCACTGCCTTATCCTGGAATGCCTCCGGCCAAAGGCAAGGACTTGCTCAAGCCTAGTAAGCTCATGGTAGCTATTCGGGAAGGGGGTACAGACGTTCTAGCTCTGGAGGTCTTCCAACCGCTAGGCGTCCTGCCATAGTACTTGCTCCTGCAAAAACCAGCAAAAATGAGCAAATAGACTGGGATGAGAAGGGTAGAACTGACGAATCGCCTGTCCTTGAGGATAAGAAGAAGGCTGCCTCGCCTATGAGTCGCATGGGAACGGTTCGACGAGCTCTAACTGTCAGGTTTCAAGCCAGACACAAGTCTGCTTCTCATGCTGATCTGCCTTTGCAGTATAAGGGGCAATCAGACCAACCTTTTCCCAAGGTGTCAGTACGAGGCATCTTCAACTCAGTATCTCGGAGGAGCTCAAAGAGAGGTTTGCATTTAGCTTTGCGTGTGGATGGTGGAGCATAATGATGCAATGCACATTGAAAATACGACAGACACGCCATGGGTCACTGTCAGGGATACAGAAATGGTATACCATTATTGTTATCATCACTCTTTGTTCTCATTGTTTCGTTAGGCAGTGGGGTTACCGGGTTAGTGTGGGTAGAGGACTGGGGATATGCATGGCTGGTATTGCTGCACCCTTGGCGAGACGTAATAGAATAGCATAGGAGACTACGGATTAGCCTAAGCTCAAAGTCGAATAACGGTGACAAGTGAGTGAATTACATGATGAAAGATTCTCCCCACCAGACTTCCTTGTAGCAGTCAATCAGCTGGGTTGCGCTACTCAGAGCGGACCCATCAACAGTAAATGGAGGATGAAGTTGTAACTGGGAGAGACCGATGACGTCGGAGGGGTTGATGGCTGTGCAGGTTCCTCAACAGATGACCTTATATAAAGAGAGCTCTGTCTGCAGCAGTAATCAATAATTGACTTCAGCTAAAACAACATCCAATTCCTATCTGACACGCATCATTTATATCATTTTGCCCTCGTAACTAGACGTTCTCATACTTTGAGCTTCCTCTCCGCATAACACCTTCGTGACGTCATCAATCATCACCTCACGCGATCAGTCCTTGCAACCTCTCGAACTTCCCAGAAGCGTGATTTTTCTTTCAGAAAGCCATTCGCTTCATATCAATTCTTCATACCTTGACTTCATACCTTAAACATCACAATAAACAAAACAATATGCGTGCCAACGATCCCAGCTCCAAGGTCTTCTACAAGGGCAACTCCGACGACTTCATCGTCTTCGTCGAGGACCCCGCGGCCCTCAAGAACTGGAAGAACGACCGCTCAATTCCCCTCTCCGATGTGGTAAACGGTTTCAAGATCTTCGTTACTCACAGGTATGTCTATGCCAATTGGTCTGATCTGATTGCACCTAATCCCCTAGGTGCAGGGTGCAGTCGTACAAGTACAGCGTATACTAACCCATGGCACTCTAGACACGGATCCCAGGGTGTTCTGGACGGCGCCAGCAACGCCAGTCTGGACAATGAGTTCGGGACTCACAATATCGACGATTGCATTGTGAAGATTCTGGAGAGGGGGACTTTCCAGACTTATACTGTAAGTTTTCTTTCTAATCTGCGGGAATAGCTATGGCAGAAGCTGATTCTGGAGCAGCAAACCGAGCACCAGGCCGACACGAACATGACCAATGGGCCTGCTTTCCGGTAGATTGAGGTCACGGTTGTGGTTGTTCCTCATGGGCTATGCTGCACTACATTCTATGAGCGATGATGATTTATGGGTTTCCCTCACCCGGTGGAAGGAATCTGGAGATATGTACCTTATGATAGCCCCATTCAATGAAGTATGGATAGCGGGCTGAGCTTGCTGTCCTGGTATCAATACTGAGTTCCAAGTCACTGTGTCAAAAAAGTTGTCGTAGATCAGTATTGTGTCTATATACCTATGGCAGTAGTCTATATGCATCATTGGCTAGGCAGCTTGCCCGCAAGAGCCTCCCGGCGCTGAATAACCCAGCTCCCTAATTCATTCCACACGGCCTGTTTCTCCGCGATACTCATCCCAGCAGCCAGGCCGCTCGTGGTCGTCGCGACAAACACCCGCGCGCCCTCCCATCCATCAGGGCCATCACATCGCCCCATATTCTCCGTCTCATCTTGCCAGCCATACCGGAACTCCTCCTTGCGGATCGGCCTCCCCTTGCGCACCCGCCACACAGCCTCCCAGATACTTTTGCCCACGAGACAGACCGCCTCGGGCCGCTGCTTCGCGACCTTGGCCTCAAGCACGGGGACACCCGCGTTCATCTCAGCCTTGCTGAGCATGCTTGCGTCTCGCGTTGGGCGCTCGACGATATTCGTGTTTCCGATGTTGTAGAGTTCCGGTAGGCGGTAGGTGTCTGAGGGCGGGTGGCGGATGGGGGTGATGCCGGACCAGTGCAGGAGTTTCCAGAAGAGGTTCGAGGGGTGTGCGTAGGCGAAGCCTGTGGTGCCGGTCATGATGCCTGGGTTTACGCCGACCAGGAGGAGGGTGAGATTCGGCGGGATGGTGTCGCGGAGGAGGCAGGTGGAGGATGTAGCTGGTGTGGAGGGTTGTCGGCGGCGGGACCTAGAGCGGGGGTCTCGTCTGGTGTTGTGGACGGTGTGAGAGGGGAGTTGGGCGTTGATGGAAGGAGCGAGGTGGTGGAAGAAGCGGAGCGGGAACGGGTGATGCGCGGGGTGAGACTGGTGGTTACGGGTGAGGATCGGCTTGAACGGAGGGTTCGTGGTCGTTTGATGGGCAATTGAAGTGTCGAGGCATTGCTGGATGGATCACTGGGTGGTTCTGATTGAGAGTCGGGTTTGCGCTTGGTCGTTGCTGTTAGGAGATTCGGCGCTGAGGCAACCTTCGACAGCGACTCCCTTGTCGATGCGACGTTCTTGGATGCATGAAAGTATTGGTTCAGTCTGCCATTGAAAGTGGTCTTCTTGTTCACCGGGACATCATGTTCGTCGTCGATGCCAGCTTCATCTTGATATGCTAGGGAAATGTCCTCAGCAACAGGAGCAGGTGGCGACATATCTGCTGTTGACCGAAGACCTTGCTGGAGCGGATTAGTGGTGATGGAGTCAGTGCCTCGCAGAACTGCTCAGAAGACGGGCCAGCAGGGAGCTCATAGACCCTTCAATCCTGATACTATGGACTCGAATGAGTTTGCAAAAGTCTGCATTGGATTATCCTGTGTGATATCTACCCTGGGAAATCCTGTACTGGGATCCAATCATGGCGACCTTGCCACTCAGGCACGGTTGCTGGCGGCCATGTCATGTGACCGTTACCGAGGTTTGGCATTGAGCTGGACGAGACAGATGCTTGATCAGTAACTTTGGTTATATATCCAGGTAAATGTTATATATACATGAGCAAGAACCACTGGCTCTTGCAGCTTCGACTTCTAGACCGGCCACTCTACCGGCGGGCATATGTTACAGTCCCCATAATCGCTCAAGGTCTCCTGGTGGCGGAGTATTAATTCTTCAGGTTTCAACGCCTTTCCTCCCGTTCATGATTCGTTACGTCGTATATTCAGTTCGTGACATGTAAGGTTCTTCGGTAAGAGAATTTTGAACTGCTACACTTTGAGAAAGTGTCGTTTCGGCAAAGTCCACGGCTCCGGGCATACAACCTGTCATTCGTCAGTAATGTATGGGAGGCAATCGAACACAAGTCTCACCTCGCCTTCGGTGTACGCCCAGAAGTAGACCGCAATTCCGATCAGATAGTATATGGCAGGATCCGTCCCCTGGTAGAGAAGGGCAGCGAGGAGAGCGCTGAGAGGGTACATGATGAGTCGCACTTCGATGCTGCGATGTGGTAGGGTTCCAGCGAGAAGGTTCAACGGCCATTCCCATGCGATGCCGAGCAGGCCCATTATGAGGTTGAGGATTTGGAGTATCGGGGTAGGTTTTACAGCGCCGTTAAGATTTCTTGTTGTGAAGTCCCAGAATATTTTGGGCCAGATGAAGCACTCCACAGCGCTGCCTACTTGATCTAGGAGACCAATGTGTCAGCTGGTCCTGCTGTAGTTTGAAGATTAAGAAATCACATACAAGCTGCAGCGGTGAGGATGATCAAGCGGGCCCAGTGGTTTTTGATCAGTCTTCCCATGGCGACGAAATACGACAGGTGATCGAGGGCTTAGATGCTATATATTTGACAAGCAGACTTTCGTCCAGCGAAAGACTTCCATGCAGAGATTGAGGGCTCAGTATCGGTCAGCGTTGTCGTGGACCGAAATCAGACGTCCGCTTTGCCAGTTGGTCTCGCATATGGAATAATTGGTGACAGTAACATGGCAGGTGAACAATGGTATGGTTACTCTTATCTTCCCATGAGTCGAGTCGGATTGTAAAATTTAAGGTTTGTATCACGGATATCACATCAACCGAGACGATCAATGCGTCGAAATCAGACGACGAAGGCTTGCGAAGAAAGGTGAATAGCGTGATGGCAGGATGAGTGGGAGGGGAAGCGATTAGTTACATAGATAGCTTACAGTGCCAAATCAGCACCGCGAGGGAGACCACATGATCACTAGCGAGGATATCTCCGCGCAGTAGTGCAGAATCATAAAAATAAGTACTTGGCACTGCTGGGGATACCTCGTTCTGGGATTGTCAGAGCAACTGTGACACGCGCAGTGTCTGATCAATCGCCTTGAAGCTGAGAACCAATTGAAGCGAAAGGCCGCTCGAGGCCGTCAAAGCCCCTCTTGGCTTCATCATGCAGAGAGTGAAAAAGCATGGCCGATTGGGCGAGAGCAAGGACACTAGCGAATAAACTAAATTGAATTTGACCTGGCAAATCCTGGAGATGTTGAAGCTGGTAGGTTGGCAGTCCCTAGTCCGGCGCTATGAGAAGTGCAGGATGAGCGAGTAAGACGACGAATGGGAGAGGAAACAGAGCGTGACAGACTGCAGGAGATTAGCGGGAACACGCTTTAGCGGCCGATGCAGCTGTGTGATAACAATCCTCAAAAGACAAGAGTTGAGATGAGCAGTCTATCATCTTGCGAATATCGGACTTCAGTTACTGGAAAAGGAAAATAGCAGTGGATTGTAGAGTTACGGCATCTCAAAAACTAACCGAGAACTAGATGTCCCTTACTCTCATGAAATTCAGCTTCCGATGAGTTGAGTGTGACACTTCTACAGTAAGTACAGTACAGTTCTCTAAGGGCGATGAGGGGAGTTTAAGAAACTAATATGCGAATGAGCTTATTGTGTATGAGACAGTCGAGAAACGTTCGGGATAATCCATTCAAGCTTATACTTCGGGATTGTCAAAGAACAGAGTTCGTCTCACCGTCTTTTCAGCTCATTGTTCTTCGTTTTAGGCGGGACAAAGTAGATATTTAGAGCGACGGAGTCTATACCTTTGAGCCCACGTGCATATCTTATGATAATTCTACCACTCGTTTTGTATTCCTTTTCAGGATGGATTCTTCAGGTCCTCGAGAGCGGCGCAAAATCGGGGATATTGTCAACTTTGGATTGGTGGTGAATATCTATGAATAGACATAAGAATCTAGAGACCCGACATCAACAGGCCCCAATGACTATATTTGGCATCAATTTAATACGAACAACATGAAGGCACCAAGAGTATCGACATACTTATCTGGGGGAGGCGTTCTGATTGAGATGCAAGAGTTCGTCTTCTGATTGGCTAGAACAAATGTGATGGAGATGAGCGCCTGCAGAATGGCTCTGATTGGTCAGTTGGCTGTTCCCTGCGCTGATGGACTGGCGACAGTTCTCAGTAGAGTCAGTACAGACTGCAAAGTGCCTAGATAGAGACCAGGATAGAGACTCCCTATCCAGGTGCTTTTATCCGGGCCCGCAAGAGTTAAAAATAAATCAACGCCAGATTTTGACCATAGTATCGACTAGCTGGGATGGTTCATGATTGACCCCGGTACCACATGGTTCGCTGATGGACCACCCCAGGATTTGAGAACGCCAGTGGAACTTGGGAGAAGCAGGAAAAAGACAGCGAGAGGACGAGGAGAAAAGACAGTCCTTGGCGATGCCCCGTAATAACCGGCAAGACCGAACGAGGACTTGTGATAGGCATGATATCTATCACACTCAGACGATCTCGGCGTGCTATTGACCTGGAAGAGATCATATCCGAAGAGTGACACACTGGGAGACTTTCTCTGTCCAGTCAGTCACTTTACGCATTCATCGTATGATTGCAATTGGCAGTGGATCGTCAAAGCTCAATGTGTAAATGAGTATCTATATGGAGTAGATAGATGGATGGGATTTGTGACGGTACTGGCCAGCCACAGAAGGATGAATGGGAGGCATCATTTATTGAAGTACTCCGAGGTAAATAAACGCCGTGTGTCGGCATGGACGTTTGCCAGGATAACTACTATTGACTTGTGTTGAAAACTCAAAATACAGCACTGTCCAGTAAATGATTAAATATAAAATATTTAGAAAGATCATTAGCCAAGTGAAGACCCAATTTAGTATTATTCCCTTGTGCTGGTGGCTTCTTTGACCCCTTCCCCCTCTTTCTTCCTCCCTGCAGCCAAACCACAACGCCGGGAAACCAAGCAAGCGACCTAAGCGAAGTTCCTGCAAAAAAAAACCTTCTCAACGTCATCTATCCTATCTAACGAGTTCGATCTGTCTATTCATCCGTCCTAGATGCTATCCCTTTTTCTTTCTTTTGATGCCATTAGACTTTCTTGAGCATGATTCTGTTCGTCCCGACTTCTCTCCTTGACTGTCACCCGCCCTGTAGCGTTGGCCATTAACCTGTCCGGCATCGCAACACTTACGCGCCGCATTGCGTTCTTCTCTTGGCCATAATAACCGCGAAAGGTTCTATATGGAGGCTCTTAGCCCTGGTAGATCTGACATTGACAAGAAATATCGGTACATGACTTTGTCTCGGTTATCACCCCTGAAGCGACAGCGTTCGACATCCATCGCGAGCTCCCGAACCGGCTACCGATCCTTGCGTTCATGATTTCAATCCTTACTTGAAAGAATTTAGAAGTAGTCGACTGTTACAACATTGCTGCTAATCCAGTCGGGAACCCTCCAGGGGTAATCGATCATTGCCGGTCGATGATTCCCAATTCTTTATCCGGATATTCACATCCCCCAACTCTGCCCCATCAACATGCGGCATCCACTGTCCTCACAATTTACAGGATCTAAGATTTTGTTTTACTTTCTGTTCTGGGGTGTACATATTGGCATCTTCGCCGCAGGATGGTACGTCGGGATATAGCTTGAGGGACCGGATGACACTGACTGATATGCGTTCAGGTACATACAAGCATCAAACCACAAATTGGACGCCCTCAATGCATTGAAGTGGTCTGTGTGGTTCTCCAGAGCTGCAGGTCTGGTCTTGACCGTTGATGGGACTCTTATCCTGCTACCTATGTGCCGGAACCTCATTACTCTCGCGAGACCCCGAATTCGATGGCTGCCTCTTGACGAATCTATATGGTTTCATCGCCAGGTAGCGTATTCGCTGCTCATCTTCACTATCATACACGTTGCTTCCCATTATGTCAAGTAAGTCGGATGCGGTTGAAATGCTATCTAGAGATTGCTAATCCACCGAAGTTTCTACAACATCGAGAAAGACAAAATCCGCCCTGTAACTGCTATCCAGGTTCATTATACCCAGGCAGGTGGAATCACCGGCCATATCATGCTCCTGTGCATGATGCTTATGTATACCACTTCCCACCATCGCATCCGACAGCAGTCCTTCGAGACTTTCTGGTACACGCACCACCTATTCGTTCCTTTTCTGCTGGCCCTCTACACGCATGCAACTGGTTGCTTCGTCCGAGACACTCCCGAACCAATTTCCCCATTTGCGGGGAAGAGGTTTTGGAACCATTGCCTTGGTTACGAAGGTTGGAGGTGGGAACTGGTAGGGGGCGGTCTCTACCTCCTGGAGAGGCTCTACCGCGAGATTCGGTCCAGACGGGCCACCGTCATCACAAAGGTGATCCGTCATCCATATGGTAAGCGACACCTCCCGTGTCTGCAGTGCTTAACGTTGGCTCACAACTCGTCAGATGCGATGGAAATCCAGTTTCGCAAGGACAGCATGAAGTACAAAGCCGGACAATGGCTCTTCATCCAAGTTCCCGAGGTATCCAACACTCAGTGGCACCCCTTCACCATCACATCCTGTCCCTTTGATCCGTATATCAGTATCCACGTCCGCCAAGTGGGTGACTTCACTCGAGCGCTCGGTGACGCTCTCGGATGCGGTCCCGCACAGGCCAGAGATATGGAAGGCTTAGACCCGCTAGGGATGTACGAAGTCGCCCTCCAGAACGGCCAGAAAATGCCCAAGCTCCTCATCGACGGACCCTACGGCGCCCCCGCCGAGGACGTCTTTGAGAACGAAATTGCCGTCCTCATCGGCACCGGCATCGGCGTCACACCCTGGGCCTCCATCCTCAAGAACATCTGGCACCTCCGCTCAGGGCCGAACCCGCCCCGCCGTCTCCGCCGGGTCGAGTTCATCTGGGTCTGCAAGGACACCTCCTCCTTCGAATGGTTCCAGGCCCTCCTGTCATCGCTTGAGTCCCAGTCAGCCAGCGCCGCCGCCAGCCAGGGCAGCGCGGAGTTCCTGCGCATCCACACCTACCTCACGCAGCGGCTGGACGAGGATACCGCCGCCAACATCTACCTCAACTCCGTCGGCCAGGAGCTCGACCCGCTCACTGAGCTCCGGAGTCGCACGAACTTTGGCCGGCCCGACTTTAACCGGCTCTTCACGGCGATGCGAGACGGGCTGCATAACCAGACGTACATGCCTGGCTTCCATGCGGCCATGACGACGGAGATCGGAGTGTACTTTTGCGGCCCGAATGCGGCAGCCCGGCAGATCCGTGAAGCGGCCAAGACGGCGTCCACCAGGGACGTCAGGTTCAAGTTCTGGAAGGAACATTTCTAGTCTCTAGGCGTTACGTTGCTGACTTTCTTACTGACTTGCTATGCTGAATAGAGAACCATCAGCTGCAGGGGATATCAAAACAGAGTATCATGAATGAGTTTTACGTGTTACGAGTTATGACTCTCTTTATTGGTTTTGGTTGGGTTATACAAGGTATTTGGGCCTTCATGTATCATAGTACAGAATCTAGCCGTATATCCATCGTTAATTGATTGCTTCTCATTACCACTGCTATCTTATGAAAATTGATAGTTCATCCCAATACTGAGAAAGAACCAGAAAGCACCGTTGCTCGCTATAATTGCATCCGCTCATCCTCACTCTCCGCATCGTCAGGCATCTGAATCGGCCCCAGGGACATGGCAGCATCCTCGAGCCTCCTCGCCGCAAGTCTATCCAACTCCTCCTCGATATCGACATGGATCCGCAACTCCTTCTCCACAAGAACATTATACACGCGGCGAAGCTCGTCGAAGCCCATCCCCTCCCCCTTCCTCGGGGAATCTTTGTATCGGTCCCGGACGATGTCTGCGCGCAGGTGCGTAAACGC